TAAAGAATCGCCATTAAATTAGTGCAACCAGTTAAGACCAATCTCTCTCACGGACATCATCATGAGACTATTCGAGAAATGCGTGTATAAATCTGAAATCGCACCTATCACAAGAAATAACATTGGTCCTGACCAATTTGCTTATAAAAAGGGTCACTGGATAATTAGCTTTCTAGAAAATAGAATAATGGTTGATGGAATTGTTACAGAATATTTATATATTAATCGTGGTGTTCCTCATGATATTAAAACTGCTGATCCTAGTAATGCGTTAGTCAAATTTGCTGACGATTTGACGTTAGGAGTGCCTGGCAACGAAAGTGGTGACACATCTCGATCTGAAGCTGCCTGTTTACAGGATTGGGCGGAAGAGAATAGAATGCCCTAAAATTTGGAAAAAAACGTACGAAATGGTTGTTCGCAGACACACCTCTGTAGTTTTGCCTGAGCTTATCCCTTCAATTAAGCGAAAAACATGGCTAAAGCTTTTAGGAGTTACTCTAAAAGATAATCGGCGCAACTGGGATTTGCACTATGAAGAAATGCTCAAAAAAGCAAGTGGAAGAATGTACATTATGAAAGTTTGCAAATACTATGGACTATCAATTAAACAATTAGATCTGCTGTTTGATAGCCTAATTATGTCGATATTCACTTTTGCTATTGAGCTGTGGGGTTGTGCATATGACGGTAAATATTTGAACCAAATAGATAAACTCATTAAACGTGCACATAAGAATGGTTATATATCAAAACGAACACACATTAAAGAAATACGTGATAAGAGAGAAAAGAAACTGTGGAACAAAATAACATCAACTGAGGACAATGCATTGCTTGAACTGCTGCCGGAAAAAAGAAGTAGGTTACTTAGGCCTAGAGGGCATGAGTATGAACTCCTCCTAGTGAGAACAGAAAGATTCAAAACGTTGTTCATAAATCGTTTTTTGTACAACTTTGTTTAGACTTTAATGTATTTAAAACTTTTTAAAACTTTTTACGCTTCTTAACTTACATTGTAAATATAACTATCTAGATCAATTACCTTTCGATTGTAAACTCAGACGGATGTATCTGATTATTTTAATAAAAACTATTATTATTATTATTATTATTATTATTATTATTATTATTATTATTATTATATATAGTCGATAAATGTAGTACCTTTGGCATCAAGAAAGCCATCACAAAATCAGTCCAATATTTGCCGAAACTCATCATCAGCAATAATCTGATACCAACAGTAAAGATTGGAGAAGCATTTCAATATTTAGGACGTTACTTTGATTTTAACATGTCGAGCGATAACCATAAGACTGAACTAACCACTCTCGTTAACGAACTAATGACTGATATTGACTCGAAGCCACTCCACCCAAGAAATGAGCTTCTCGTATACAGTCGTTATGTCTTATCCAAAATATCGTGGCATTTCACCATCGCAATACTTTCTAAAACATGGGTTATTGAAAATATTGATCCCGTAGTCAACCAGTACATCCGTAAATGGCTTGAAATTCCAATCCCAGGAACACTAAGTACTGTTTTTCTAACTCGCAACAAATCTGGTCAAAGTATTTATCCTCCATCGGTGAAATTTATCCAATGCCAAACAGTTCTTCTAAAAGCTTTAAAACTTTCTCCAAATCAATCAATCAACGAACTGTGGAAATCTACTAATACTCATACTAATATCCAATACGACTTTTATAACTCAACCAAAGAAGTGCTTAAAGACTTTCGGTCTGAACATGAAGATAAACTCCAAAATCAATTAACTTGTCAGGGATCCTTTTTCTCTAGTATAACAAAGTCCTCCTTGTCGCATCTTAGCAAAGTGTGGTCTACTGCTCAATCTAAACTTCCGCAAAACATTTATAATTTAAACATACGCTATATCAATAACTCTCTTCCGTCACGCAAGAACTTTAGCAGATGGGGATTGTCTTCAAGTTCAGAATGCTCCTTTTGTCTTGGCCCAGGATCATTATTGCAGGTGGTCACTGGATGTCAGTGTTATCTCGATCGATTTACGTGGAGGCACAATTCAATCCTGAACTTCCTTGCCAATACCTTGCAATCTGTGAACGGTTCTGCCCTCTACGCTGAGGTGCCTGGATTCAAAAGTCCGTCAATAATAACTGGTGATACGTATCGCCCGGATTTGTTGCTATCGTTATCAAATGGCTCTCTTTATGTGGTCGAGCTCACTGTTGGCTATGAGACAAACCTCGAGAACAACGTTAATCGGAAAAAAGCCAAATATAAAGAACTAGTAAAACAACTAGACGAAAATTTTAACGAAGTAAACTTTATAAATCTTTCTATGAGCTCCCTAGGCATTTTTGCGCAAGAATGCTCTACATTCTTAGAAATGTTAAAAAATGTTGGTCTGGACAAAAACTACCAAACGTACTGTGTTAGGAAAATGATGACTATTGCCATTCGAAGTACACACTATATTTTTTGCCGCCGAAATAAGGAATGGGAAAGTCCGGACTTGTTAACTATTTGAAATATCTGATTGTCTTGTATATTTATATATTTTCATGTATTCTGTCTTATCATTTTTATTAGTTCATATAGTTGTGATTCAAATAGCCAATTGTAAGTTACCTTAAATTAGTGAGATTTACAATTGTATATATATAGTATATAACAAAATTATTAAAGTTTCCATTATTATTATTATTATTATTATTATTATTATTTACGGCATATGGTCTAAATCCCAATCAAACCTCCCAAAGAACATCTATAACTTCACCATTCGTTACATTAATAACTCACTTCCAACTCGTAAAAACCTTACTAAATGGGGAATATTGTCCAACTCTGATTGCTCCTTCTGCTTAAACCATGAAACCCTTTTACACGTAGTTGCTGGATGTCAAACGTACCTCCCACGATTTACATGGAGACATGATTCTGTTCTGAACTTCATAGCACAAACGCTACAACCTGTAAACAACTCCAATCTTTTCGTCGATCTTCCTGGTTATAAAAGCCCATCAATTGTAACTGGTGACACATTCCGCCCAGACCTACTTCTATCTATCAACTCGGATTGTCTCTATATCCTTGAACTTTCTGTTGGTAATGAGTCTAATCTACAAACAAATGTTGATCGGAAAAGAAGAAGATACGAAGATCTCATTACACAGCAAAAGAAACAATTTAAGTCCGTAAAATTTGTAAATTTGTCAATTAGTTCTTTAGGCGTTTTCTCAAAAGAATGTCATTCCTTTTTAGATATGTTAAATGATCTAGGTCTTGATAAAAGACACCAATATTTCGCTATCAGGAAAATTATGTCTATCGCGATTAGGACAACATATTATATATTTTGTTGCAGAGATAAGGACTGGTTAAATCCGGAATATAAATATTAAGTAGGTTCAAGTAGTCAATTATAAATTACCTAAAATAGTGAGATTTATCATTGTATATATACGTATATAATTTCAATAAAGTTTCCATTATTATTATTATTATTATTATTATTATTATTATTATTATTATTATTATTATTATTATTCATATATATGAGTGCCGTTCTCGAGAAATCTCGTCTACTGGTGACCTCGCCTCATACTAATTTTGCGACAAAATTTTACATCCCGTTCATATGAAGAAGCGCGCTGGCCCGAATGTATGCGAAATCACCTATATGCGTAAGCCATGACCATATGTATAGGCGAGCAGTCAGAATTTTATTTTGTTCCAATTTCTCTAATGTTGGATAAAGTAAGTCGGAACGCTTGTGGTTGTGACTAAAATATAAATTTGAATTTGATACTCTACACAATTTATGTTGGGCGAGCGTTGCAGATCTACAGCGGCCGGTTGTTGGAAGATCGATTATCTTCAGCAAGGTTAACCAAAAATTTAAAGCACACTTCCTAACAGGCTTGTTTATACATTTGGAAATATTTCTGAACAACCGCTCTCTGAATGTCCCATCTCTATCAGCCTGTTGTTGAATTACGTAATCACTTGCAGTCCATAAAATTAGTGCAAGAGGTCACATGCAGGGCGTTTGCACAAAAAGATCCCCACAATGCATGTAGCATTCCGCTTTGTGTCACATGGAAAGAAATTTTCCTGTTCATTCACAATTGTAAATGTTATGAGCACTGAACTATACTGGAACTCTCGCGAATGGATTTAAAACAATAAATGAGTATATTGTTTGAATTAGCAACTTACCCAATGACTGTAAGGCCGCATACATCACCATGTGTACTGAAGCAGAAAAGGTTCATCTTCGCAGCTACAGTTACTCTAATATCGACAACTACCAACGTATTAACCTGGAAAATAGTTAAAGGCAAAAAGTTAAAACAACAATTGACCAAAACCCCCAAGTACAGTACATGTTGCAGCCCATCCTCAGCTCCCTATGTTCAGATTTATTTATAATTTAGTATTCGCTATTGTTGTTAAATGTTTATTGTGAAAAAGCACGGAAATATTTCTCAAAATCATGAAATTATTTTAGATTGATAAAATCATGCAGTCACTGTAAATAGATACCTATATAGATATTAACAACAATATCGTTATGTTGATGGGGTGTACGATCAAGATCTGAAACTGGAATCAATTGGTTTTGCTACAGAAGGGCACGTGCATATTTAAATAGTTGCTTATTTTTTCGCCCAATATAGGTCCAATTATAGACGGTGTAAAAACTTGTCAATTATCATAAAATATAACTTTCCAGTAAAATTTGGTTGCTATAATATACAGATCTGACTTCATTTTCTTGAAGATTATCATGATGTGTGTTTTTAATATTTTTTTAAAAAACGTAATATGCATGAACATGTTATAGTCGATAAATAAAATTGTGCAAAAAAATTATATTAATCTGGATTAATTCGCGAATACCGTAGGTAAATGCATGCTTTCACGTAAGCTGCACAAACAACCGGCAGTGTAAATAATGTTCAAATTATAGTTGTACTAACTCAAAATGATAATTCGAAAAAAAGGAAAGTTAGTGGTCAGCTAGCTAAATTTTCATCGCTTTAGACATACGTCACATACTTTCCACTCACCTTTCCAGATCTGTGGTTGAAAATTATTATTAGCACTATGTTTTGGGTTTGTGTGGAGGTAAGAGCTGGAGTTTCAGTGCTTGCTATGCTAACTCCTGGTTCTTCAAGTTCACTGTCCACGCCAGAGAGAATCTTGTCTTGGTGTGACGTAAATATGGTTGCTAAGACACTGGTAGGTAATAGACCACTACCACTTGGTAAAAGTGCGTAAAAGGACAGAATAGAATCGGTTCCATTTTGTGTGGGTGAGTTCGGCAGTCTTCGAATGTGATCAGAGGTAAAGCCATTCAAGTCAGCGCTAAAGGAGAAATGCAACATAATCAATCTTTAATCTACGGGTAAACTGCACTTGGGGCAAAGGTCAACTGTCTTATTTTGGTATGACAGCTATAGCATACCCATATAGAAATGCGGTCAGCAAACAATCTGATAGAAAATTTACAGAAGAGGTCATTGTCGCAGATCTCAAAGTATAATATGAGAAGGCGTGGTAAAGAGGGAATATAATAAATTTTCACTTTATTGGATTATTTGTCGTTAAAGAAGTAAATCATAGGAAACGATCAAAGCATTAAAAATTCAATGATCAAAAATTCCTAAATCATGGAGATAGCATGCAATGTAGTATGTAGAAACAAAGCATGCTCCATTATTAAACGACGCATGTGCGATTTGCAAAGGCGAACATATTCAAAAGACCTACAATAATTTCTAAAAAAGTAAACTACATGTAGATGAAAGCTAAAAGAAGTGGGACGTTTCAACGTGAAAAGGACGTTTTGACGTTTGTAGGACGTTTGGACGTTTTAAAAATGCCACCTCGCCGTACACGCAGAAACAAATAACATTGTAAGGTCGTGGTCGTGGAAAGGAACTAGATGCGATTGTTTACTTGCTTTTAACTGCCTAGCTAGCAGTCCTTTGTTTTACCCAAGAAAAACAGCGAGTAACCGAGGTAAAACTTATATTTTCTTTTCCTACAAAACACGTGTTCTTAAGAGCATGCTTACTGCGCATGCGCTTGCTAAATTATGCTAAAAACTTTATGTAAGACATATAACGCGTGTCCATTCCGCCGGCCTTGATTGGATCAACACAAGAATGTCATGAAATAATATAAACATATATCTAAACTTATCTGTTCAAACTTATGTTCGTTCATTGTTCAGTACTTCACTTCATTTCATCATCTTTCTTCGGCACTTCCTTCGCTGGTAGAAGTAAACATAACTTCACAATCGGTCGGATGAAGGTGCCAGTCTTCGTTTGTACAGTAACGACTCGAACAAGTTTATCTGGACCAGGATGAACCTTTGTGACTCGAGCAAGAGGCCATTCACAAGTTGGTGTACGATTGTCTTTAACGAGGACAATATCATCTAGTTGAAGATTTCGTTTTGGAACTTTCCACTTGTTAAATCGTAAGCCATTGAGATATTCAGCAGACCATCGTTTCCAGAAATGTTGCGTCAATGCTTGACAGAGTTTCCATCTTTTTAAACCAAGAATGGGCTCTTTATAAATGCGGCTAGGTAGAGCTTCTAAAGGACGCCCAATTAGAAAATGTCCAGGGGTAAGTGGAGATATTCCATCATCATCATTTGTATCAAGCGAAGGTATCAGTGGACGAGAGTTGAGACAGGCTTCGATTTGGCAGAGGGTGGTTGTCATTTCTTCGAAGTTTAGTTTGGTTTCCCCAACTATTCGCTTCAAGTGCCGTTTACAGGACTTTACCCCGTTCTCCCAAACAGAACCATGATGAGGACCGGTGGGTGGGCTAAACTTCCACTGGATGCCTTGGAACGAACAAAAGTTCATAACAGATTCTTTGATATCTGGTCTTTGAAGTAGTCGATAAAGTTCCCTTAAATCTTTATCCGTACGTCGAAAACGAGTCGCGTTATCGCTCCAAATCTGCATGGGTTTTCCTCTTCGAGAAACAAAGCGACGAAGTGTGGCAAGGAATGCTTCCGCCGAGAGGTCTGGTACTAATTCGATGTGACACGACTTGGTTACAAGGCAAACAAAAACTGCTACATAGGCTTTACGATACGTTGGCTTTCGAACTGATCCTATCTTTAGTGTAAACGGTCCAGCATAGTCTACTGAGACTCTCTCATTGGCAAAGGTGGGCAAAACACGTGCTGACGGAAGTTGACCCATCAGTTGAGTTGTTATCTTTGGAGACGCTCGCTTGCACACTACACACTCACGTATCAACTTATGAACGACTCTACGTGCACTAATGATGTGATAGGTATCCTGAAGAGATCCTAAAGTAAGCTTTGGACCAGCATGACACAATCGTTTATGTTCGCTTTGTATGATCAAGGTTGACAGATAATGCTTTCCATGAAGGACCAGTGGATGCTGAGATTCGTAATCTTTCATTGACTGCGAAAGACGA